TAAATCCCATTTTGTTAAATAATCGATTTTTTGATCTTTGAGAATATCTTCACCATTAATCAAGCAAATACTAGTGTCATTCGTTTGACAAAGTTTCAAATTAGTAAATTCGTTGATAGTAATTGCATTCGATGCATATCGAAAGATACTCACCCATTTTATCCATGCAAGAAAGTTGATAGTAGTTGTAACGTCAAGAAGATAGCCAGTAAAAACGAGCATTGCAACGCAATATGCTGCTGTAACCAAATTTGCCAGACCTAAAATTGTAGGACTATTGATGATCAAAGAAAAATGATCATAGTGGATACTTTACCAAATGATTCTACACTAGCCGAAATGAAAAAACATATCGAAGCTGAACAAATAGCTGTCATGAATATGGTTAATAGAAAAATAAAAAACTTGGTAACAGTACGTTGAAACTGAATCATGAAATAAGCAATAAGTGAGAAAAGAACAGATGGAATAGATCGTAATGGAAGAATATCACATAGTAATTTTGAAACAAAATATATCAATGTACTATAGTAACCACTTGCATTTTCATGTATGAAAAGTGTACGATCTTTGATAAATAATTCAAGTGCAGATAAATTCAAGAAGACCTGATTCGAAACAATAAAAAAAATAGCACCGAAGCGATTTTTTATTCCATTTTCTAATGTACGGTTCGTATTAATATAGAGAAAACCGATAAATATTGCCAGACATACTGGAACTATTGTTTGCATTACCATCAAAGTCGGATTTCGAAATGATTTGCGTAGAGTACGTTTAGATACGTGTAGCATTTTGATGAGAGCCGACCGTGATGCTAATCTTGTCTGTATATCCCTTATGTTGTTCGATGTAATACTTGCATCCACTATTTGTTGATTAATAGAAGTAAAGCTTGCCGACTGAACGTAGACATCATGTAGATATTGAGCAACTTTATCTTTTTTTTGACCCTCACCCTCGTTTTCGTTTCCAATTATTGCATACGATGTCCATCGTATACCCTGACATATGTCTAGAATAAAGTCAGCCGGATTGTCATGTTCTTCACAAGCGAAACCGGCCGAAGTGAAGAATGAAAGAGCATCACTAGCCGGCCCATGATAGACACAATAGCCAGCAGCAATTAGAAAAAGATTGGAGAATTGCTTGAATATAGAATAACGAGGTTGATGAATCGAAAAGATGATTGTATCTTCAAATAAGAATAAAGTTTGAAATGAAACATAGCCACAAATAACCTACGTCCTTTTTTTGAAAGTTGATCAAGACATTCGATTACACTATTGGCTGTTGATGAATCGAGACCTATATCAAGCAATATAATCTCGTTACAGATCTTAGTTATGCTAATTCTCTTAAAGATAAAGGATGTGGTTGAGGATACGAATGGATTAAAATGATCTAGTCCCACTCACAAGCTCTTGTAACACTAAATTCTGGCGCTGTTTTTTTTCATTATGTTGGATATGTATTTGTTCGAAACACTAAAAACTTGAGTCGGATAAGTTTTTCCAGGCAATTAATTGACGAGACAAACTCTCAAACTTAAAGCCATCAAATTCTTTTGTAATTTGAATACGAAATGTAAGAGCAAAGTCTTTAGTTTCAGATTCATGTTGAACAAAAATTCTCTAGGAAAACCTATTGATGCATATGTCTTCTATCCTACTGAAAATGTTCTATTTGGTTAAGGAAAAAGAAATGTTATTTTTCTTTTGAAAACCCATACAATGTTCTACCATATGAAATCAACATTCATGGTTTTCATCATTTTACAAGAAAACAAATAAACTTAAGTTAAAAGTTACACTTCGTCAAAAATCGAAAAATCAATTTTCAAACACGATAGTAAAAATAAATCAGTATTGGGTTTATAGATCTTAAACGAAAATAAAACATTATTTTACCGGTTGTTGGTTCGTCCAAGAAAAGTACAGTAGGCGACAGAACTAACTCCATGCCGATATTGGTTCGTTTTCGTTCACCACCCGATACTCCACGACTAGTTTCAGTACCTACCCTCGAATCAGCACACTTTTCTAATCCTAATTGTACTATGACTCGATCGACAATAGCAATTTTATCTTCCGAAGAGACATTCCGTGGTAAACGAACATTAGCTGAAAAAGCTAAATTTTCCCGAACAGTCAATGTGCCGCTGACCATATCATCTTGAACAACATAACCGACTCGATATTTGAAATCTTGCATTTGTGGTTGTCCGTCTATGAGTACTTGTCCTATTAAACCTTGATGATCTTTTCGACCAGCTAATATATCTAATAGGGATGATTTCCCACTACCAGTCGGTCCAAGAATCGCGTTCATACCAGGTTTGAAGATTCCGGTGAGATTATGAAGAATCTGTTTCTTGTCCTTCTTCAAATAACGTATGCATCCTTGAGTAGGTACTGTATAATTGATTGAATTAAAAGTAATTGTTGAACCATGGATGCCTCTATCGTCCTCTGTTTTTAGCATCATCACCATTTCACCATCAGAGTTGGTCATTTTTTGTTACTGCTTCTCAATTAACTGTTATACAAAAATCTAGAAACAAAAAAATTCAAATACGAATATTGAAGGTCAATCATTGTTCAAATGCATTTTCTTAACTTTTAAAGACACTTTTATGATGAACCGATCCTAGAAAAATTCTTTTGAAGTGAATAGGATTCTATAACATTCGCATAAAGCTCTTGAAATAAATTTTTATAAAATGTAATCCAAATTTGCATGTATACGATCCGTACAACGCTACAGTGTATTTCAGTAAGACAATTTCTGATAGACTTTTGTTTTAGTATTGAAAGCAGTATGAGAAGACACTGTATCTTTCTCTAAAAACAAAACTAATTCAATGATCGATATTTAAATCTAGCAATCTTGATTGTAAGAAAATTATCTTCATCGATCGATCATAATCAGTTACTTTTGCTGTTTACTATCGCAAAAGAAGAGAAAACGAAAAAGCCAGTGGAATATATTTGAAAGAAAATCAGCAAAAAAAATTAACTCACTGAATTGGTCCCAATGAGAAGAAATGTTACCAAGATCAAAGCAATATGTAATGATTTGAAAACTTTAACGAACTTTGGCAAACAAGAAAAGAAATAAACAGTATAAAAACAATCTTTTTTTTCTTTCTCTCGTCTCTGGCGCAAACTCGTCAACTAAATGTTTACATTGGTTCTCCGTCGATACGCACGTCTGACAATCATTTATACAATGTAAAAGTTCTAAAGTGTTCGAAGAGAAAAAAAATTGCATGTGATTTTGCGTTATTTTTATTGAGGCCGAGAACGATAAAAGCAGCTTCGTGCAAGTATGAGCAATGAACGAGCTCTTTTTATTCTCTCTTTTTTCTTCATTCAATGTGTTGCTAAGATGCCGGCAATGTAAATTTCAAGTGAAAAGCTTTTTTCATTTTTTTTACATCATTGGATGAAGCATAAGCTACTAAACACGAAAAGTTACTTTTTTAGCATGAGAAAAAGTGGATATAGGCATGTATGCCTTTATTCTATCCTCCGACAACCCCACCCCATCCACAATCATAGTCGCACACTCGACACTAACACCTACACCCAAACCTTTCCAATACGCTGCTACAGGAGCTCAAGCTATTTTGGAACATTTTACTTTAACAGAACTAATGTGTGACAAGTGTGTGAGTAACATCATTGGGTGCATATTGAGAGGGCTTCTAATGCTTACTCTACTTAGTGGTGTCAATGAGAGGATTTCACATCTAAACTCTAATTTACGAAAGTATTTTCTGTTCTTGAAAAACATTTTGAAATCGTGACTCTGATTTCAATTTGTCTTTAATCATTAGATACATATATCACTGCCTGTTGTTCTTATTTCTCCCATGATGACTAAATTGAGAGAGCTTCATTCATTGTTTGGGTATCTTTCATAGCGTGATATTTGCGTCAAACTTGTGTATTTATTATCCATGCAATTTATCATTCTAAAACGCCTGAAAACATTTGAGAAAGTTCGAAATTTAACATATTTTGTTTTTACAGTTCACGGTATGTTCTGCATATTTTTCACAATGAGGTTGTAAAAAATACTTAACGTCTTGTCTTTTTTGAAGATTGAGACAGATCTTCTATTGAGAAATTTTGATTTAGTTGATTAGATGTTTCATAGGAATTTCATAGAGTTGTTAGAAAGCTTTTAGAAAAATCAACAACAAAATCGAAATATCATACAAATTCCCTTCATGCAGCAGATATGTTTTCTCTTATGAAAACTTCGCAGACATTTTTAATCACAATTATCGGTAAAATCATATTACAATTTTTCATGACGAGAGATTCCAGCAAAATAGTTCAAAGTTTATGGAAACTCTTGCAATCGACAATCGATAATTCAACGAAAATAACCTCACTATTCACAAAGACTTCTTATTTCTGTTCGTGAAAATTCTAAGTTTCGACTCAAACGGCATGAAATATATTGAGACAATTGCTTGCTTCTCAGACATCACATCCGACTATTTTGTGGGTGGGCGATCTTTAGCAATCGGACAAATGTCAACGAAGTATTAGGAACACTGTTAGAGTCGGCTCTGACCTAGTTTAACGCTCATTTGTCATAAAAGATGCGTTTAATCTTTCAGATATTGTTGTTCTTGCCTATGGAAGTAGTGCTTGGCTGAAGAAGAAAAAGCATACTTCTGTTTTCTTCGTACTTGTTTTTATTTTTCTGTAGTTTTTCGGACTTCTTCGTACTTTTTGATACTTCTCTGTGCTTCTGGTCCTAAAAGAGAACAACAAATTTTTGCGTTGAATAGTTCACAATAACAGTGCAATTTTGGTCTGTTATATGGGTAAAAATCAACTCTAGTCTCAATCCTGCTCATTCCTTGATTAACTCTGGTACAAGCTGATCGTTTTGGTCAAATAAATGAGCTGCTCATTCTCTATCGATCAGCTGCGCCCACGATTGCTACCTGATATCGTGCCAGAGGTCTATTTTCATATATGATTGATATTCAATGTGTGAACACCACTCTTCAACCTGATTCAATACTCGTCGAACTTGAAGCTCAATTGGATATTGATTATTTTCTCGAACAACGTGTCATTGAAACTGATCCTCTTTCCAATGAAACTACTACTCCGCAACCATTTATTTTAGCCTTTCTCATGACAGATAAAGGGTATGAAGCAATGACGAATTCCCTAATCATGAGTGGACAACTAAGTATTGTTGAAAATGAAAAGCAGTTAACAGTAAACTTTCGAATCAAAGAAATGAGAGTCAACAGAAAAAGAAGCCAAAATACAACTTGCAGTTACCCTTGGCAATGTATCGTCATTCTCTAGTACAACTGTAACAGGAATAACGCTTGCATTCATAATGAATCAGTTCCGAACATTCAATACATTTTATTCAGAAATGCATACCAAAGATTATACGAAATTATCTCTAATATATTCCATTGCTAGACATCGATTACAATATATTGTATTCTTCGATATACTAGTCAAACATTTCAATAACAATAAAACTGATTATCTTGTTTACATGCTCGATGGAATTGAAGTTGTGTATAGCAAGTCCAATGGTGGTCTTTTCTTTCGCTTCATTCTTATGCAAGGCTCTGTTCAATTCTTCTCGATCGATCCTTTTATTCAATGCTTAATAGTTGCAGTGACAACACTGAACTCCTCTTTCAGTCATGTCACTTGATTGTCTGATCGAAACTAATCATTGACAATTTCAATATCACAGTAAAGACTTGACTCTCACGTTATACTCATCATTTACAATAAAGAGATCATGTAGAAAATCTATTGCATATATGTGGTATATGTTCGTTTTCATCATCAACACAGTCATTTAAGATCATTTTATGTGCAAGTGATATGGCCACTGTTGAGTCAGAATCTTTCATCAACGGTGAAGTCAATGCTCACACTGGTTTTCGTTTCTCAACAATTATCAACTGCAGTCAATAGTAATGCACCCAGTTCTGCGACGAACTCTAACTATGTTACTTTGAATTCATCTGAAGGTAGTTCAGTACATCAAACAACACAATCAACACAAACATTGTCTTATCCTTCTGAGAGATAGTACTATATCCAAAACTAGTGCTACATCTAATGTAGTACTTAGTTGCACCGTAATCGCAACGATCCATGAAAATCAAACCACTAAGTTCTCATTACAAAGTTGTCATAACAAATTGAAACAACGACCAATTCAGCAAGTACAATATTATTCACATTTGCCATAACATCACCTGCAACTTTTCAATTGGTGGAAACGACTATTTTGTCTTCAAGAGTTTCAGCATTATCGACTAAGTCTTCTGACACCACAACTACACTAACAAACGTTGATTATACAACAGTACCATCCGCAGTACCAAATTACTGTATCAATTTCTGTTTGGATCCTCTATTGATTGATTTGACTCATACAATGTCTGAATTCACTCGTGAACTGCTATCGATTTTCAATTCAACTCTTCGAATTAACTACAATCAGATCAATATCACTGTGAGCATTGGACCCTCGTTTACTACTGCTACTGCTCCAATTTTTCTATGAAATACAGTAGTGGAAAGGGCCAACTTGCTTCTCACTCGAACCCAATAACAACTTGTTAATCTAACATTCGAATTTTGTCAGCATAATCTTCCTCGTTATTGATATTGCTATTACAGCAATAGTTTCGTTACGATCAAATTCTTTAATCATATTTATAGAGTCGATATCAAGACCATGTTACCTGATGATACTGACTGGGCACCAGTTGAAACGTTGTGATCTCTCTTGCTCATTCCTTTAGGCTTGTTTAAAATCAATAAGCTATGGCATTTTCTCTCAAAAAACTGTCCGAAAAGTGTCTCGACTTTATTATGTTTTAAAATGAAATAGAACATCCATTGAAATGAAAAATAAGATTTTTACTTGTCCAGAAAAGAAAAGTGAAGATGTATTTTGTTGAAACATCCAATCTTAAAATATTAATGCTTCTTGAAAACTACATCTGTCGGCTGTGGCAATGGATCAAATACCCTCTTCACTGCTGCCGCAACATTCAGTAATTTTTCATCTTTCCCATACTCTCCTTCGATCTCCATACCAACTGGCAATTTCGAATCTTTAGTCAATCCAATCGGAATACTGATCCCGGGAACACCTGCAGTGCTTCCAAAATCTTCAAAAGTTACATATGCGTCTAATGTAGGAAGTGTATGATTGTTAAGGGTGACAGGATCTTGTCCAATCAAACGAGCAGTGAGACGTGTTGTCGGAAAAATAATGCCATCTAATGCGAATTGCTGAAAGACTGCTCGTAGCTGACGTTGAAGTTCTGGTCGAACTATGTTCATGATAGAATTATATTTCTCATCCGTGACCCGCAAAGTGCCGTTTTGGATACCGTTGATTGCATCCTTTACATCAGGGCTCGCCACGTTGCTCAGGACACGAGATAACGGGATCGGATACTTTGGGCTTGCTTGAAGGTACCGGTCTAGATCACGAAACCATTCGTAATAGTAGATTAAATAACTATTTGCTAGATCTAAGGCGAGAAGTTCCGATAGATCAATGTTGATGATTTGTACTCCTGCATTTGTCAATGCTTGAACCGATTTGATAAACACATCGTAAAGATCTCCATCGACATCGTTAAGGAAAGTACTTCTGTCAAGTCCCAATCGAATTTCTCTTAGTGAAATGCGCCGTGGTTTTCTCTCACATGAATTCTGGGTTAGAACACCGTCGATTAGTACAACATCCTCAATGCTTCTTGCATTGATACCAATCGTATCCTTGCTTGACGCCAATGGTATGACTCCCTCCTGCGAGTATCGACCAATAGAAGGTCTAAATCCGACCACACCCGTAAGTGCTGCAGGAATTCGACAAGATCCCCCTGTATCCGTGCATAACGCAATTGGGGCGAATCGAGCAGCGACAGAAGCTGCTGATCCACCGCTACTTCCACCTGGGATTAAGTTTAGATTCCATGGATTATGAACCGGACCAAAATATGCGTTATTACTTGTAATACTCCATGCTAATTCATGCATGTTAGCTTTTCCAAGAATGACACCGCCGGCTGAGAGTAAGCGACTAATGACAGGGGCATTGCGTTTTGGATAAGAGTTGCGGAGAGACGGTGTACCACCCGTTGTGGGATAACCAAGTACATCAATATTGTCTTTAACTATAATTGGAAGACCATTTAAACACTGTCGTTCCTTCTGATATTCTGTTGTTGTCTTGATTGAGGAAAGAACTCGGCCAGGATAAAACGATATTAGAGCATTAATACGTTTTTCATTAGCTTTGATGTGATGAATGAGATGCTGGACATATTCTCTAGGTCTTATGTTGTTTGATATTAATTGTGGAAGAATTTCGGATGCAGTTGCTTCCAAAAGACTATTGGCGACAACTACTTCTGGTAGAAATTGACCAAGCAGGATGATGGTAAATGCCAAGTAAAACATGTCGTCTTTGAAATTCATAGTATCAATTGGCTAATAAGAAAGCGATTCGTCAACGTTTTAGATAAAACGATTGCTGTTATTGTTCTGTGTTAGAAAACAAACTTATAACTAACAACATACTCCACTATTTTCAAAACAACCTAAAACTTTCTATTGCCAATGCGCTTTTACTTCTTTTTAAAGTGGTAATTAATTATGATGATATTTTGAAACTTTGATTCCAGTTTTACATTTGGTTGGCAAAATGTTATCATAGGAGAACAAAAAATTATATGCAAAAAGTATGGATGTTTGGTGAGCTAGTCGTCTTCTATGATTGTATTGCCATATGACACAAAAATAAGATGTAATATTACTCTCCTTAAAAATTGCAAGCTTTTCTCAAAAGAATTGAGAATTCTATATCTGTTCTTTTGCACTCATGTTTCCCACAAAAGACGATACTTCCTGTTGTGCGCTTTGAAGATCCTGTGGTAAAATAAATCATAATTTTTTAATGTTATGAAAATAAATTTATTTATTTTCTTCATCCAAACGATTCTTCCTTGTTTTACATGGTTACGAAAAATACGACAGAACAATGCATGAAATAAAAATTCAAAATAGATTTGCAGAAGAGTTGTCCAGTTTTCACTATATAACAATGTTGATATTGTTGGGTAGTTTCTTGAAGAAACATGACTCATCCAAAGATTCCACTTAATGGCTACCATCGATTATACTGCTATAGACGATTCACAGTCAGTATTATCAAAGGATATTAGAGACATTATGATAGGTAGCTTACTCATCAAACAATTTAATCAAATTATTATTTGATTTTCTCTTTTTTGTTAGAAATTTCTCAATCCAACCGCGCAGTATTACACGTCGAGGAAGGATTCGAGCGCTACTCTCACAAGACTAGTATATTATGCTGTATATAGATGGAAGCAATATCCAAATATGAAACGCAACGGCAACCTATCATCCTACTATAATATTCTTACTCGAAGCAATTCTACACAAATTCTGCAAGTACTACATCTAATATTGTCTTTGAGGTCCTAGCACTTCTATCGCATCGCTATTTTTATTTCTATTACAGTACATGTAGCTAATTCACAATTTGCCGATATCCTCTAAGACTTTGATCGATATAAGCACGGATGACAAATGTTTTTCGATTTCTAAAATTCTTCTACTGATGTCACTCATAGTACTATTGAATAACTGGATACATGCCATTCCCGAGAGATAAACAAAAGAAACTAGAGTCTTGTAGTCTCCTGAAGTCTGTTGAAGTCTTTGAAAGTCTTGACGTCTTGAACACCACTGTTTCTTCCTCGCTCCGAATGCATTATTCTAAGCACATTCTTTGCCAAACCTTTCTTTAAGGAGAATGATTCCTATGAAAAGAATGTCTACCATTTGCTACAAATTCTAGCTCTCAGAGTCAATAATTAAGTGAATCCACGTTTGTGGATAAGTAAATGCTTAATCTATTTTGGTGACTAAACAAAAACTTCAATTTGGAAATATTTGACTTAGAGATCTTTCTATTATAAGATATACTATACATAGCGTAATTCTATATCATCCTATATCTCTTACTATACTGTATCAATCTGGTGACCAGATGACGATGTAAGAACATATTCCATGTAATAATATACGTAGTAAACACGTGACTATATTTATAATTTAAAAGATACGAATCCTTTCCAGGTTAAAAGGTTCGTTTTCCTGCTGATTTAATATAAATTTATTTCTTTTTTTTGCAATTTAAATTTCAAAATAAATTTATATTGCAGGTAATGTAATTTTTTTTAAATGTAAATTATGCAAAATTGAATTTTCGAAATTTAAAATATTTGCAGTTTATTCATAGTTTATTAAATTATAAAGTAAATTAAAGTATTCTATTTCTTTTTGATATTTCATCCCGGTCAGACGAATGATGGAAAAACAAGTGTACAACTGTGTCGAAGCTTTATCTCGAACAATATTGTAAAAGGCACGTATGAAAACATACACACAGCACCTTAGGATTTTGACCGGATCTATATCTATCCGAAAATTTTAACGGGTTATGAAAACGTAAAAATTTACACTTTTTACGATTTTAATTTTGTTATAATTTTAATACGCTTTTAGGAGTTTTTTCCTTATTTGACTGAAATAAAATATTTAAACGAAGACAAAAATCATACCGCTACTTAATAGAAACGTCGAATAATGTTTTTCTAGCTCCTTTATATGTCATTTGATACAGTACAAAAAAGTTGGTTAGACATGTATTATTTTCCAATCGATCGACACATGGTATGAGAAAAACACAAAAGATGAGGAAAATATGAAAAACGGTTCAAACGCCTAAAATTCGATTCTTCATTATATGTTTTTGAGGATTTTGTTAAGATACCGAAAACGCAAAATTAAAGTAGACTTTTTATTTGTTGATATTTGATTTGATAGAGCGTGATGAGTTGATATACAATATACAGTATGTAAAATAATTATTTGCACATGCTCTAACACTTGTCTTGTGAATCAAATTTCATGATAAAGAAAAAAAATTTCTCGACTCTGATTATATCATTTGTCATATTGAAATTTCTGCTTTCTTTTAATAAAAAAATTTTCTTTCAAAAAGGTTTTCTATAAACTGTTTGATTCCATATACGACAATAATTGTTTGGATACCTGTAATTTTCTTTTTGTGAGACCTTTCCAGTGCATCAAAATATTTTGATCTCAATATCATTCGATAGAGAATGTTGAGAATTATAATTTATATTGGACAAAGAAGAAAAACAGGGTTTTTTCGTTCTGTCGCTTGATGTGCATGGCGTATAGATATATTTATCTTTCTTTTGTTATTTCGATGGCTTAGTGTAAATAAACTGACTGACAAAACGAAAAAATTTGTTTTTCTTCTTACTTCAATGTAAACCACTGAAACAGATAGGTTTTTATCATATTCAGAAATAATGATATCGTTCACTTTAGCACATCCTTCTTTTCACAATTCAATTCTGAAGATTTTCTATCGAATGATATTAAACTTAAATATTTTGATGTAGTATAAAGCTGCCATAAAAAGAAAATTACAGATGTTCAAATAATAGTTATTGTATAGGAAATCCAGCAGCTTATAAAAAGCCTTTTCGGAAGAAAATTTTTTCTTTTACAATCAAGCAGAAACTTCAATGTATCCAATGGTATAATTAGGGTCGTGAAAATATTTTTTTCTCAGTTGCGAAATTTACTTCACAAGACAAGTGTTACAGGACGCTCGAATATTTATTTTTAATGCTGTAGATGTTTCTTTTCTTCTGGAATGAGTTCTTAGGAGAAAAACTTCAGTTTTCTCGGATGACCCACTTTTTATGAAAAAAAAAGGGCAATTTTTTGTCTTCCTTCAAATTTCAAAAGTGTCTGATTCCAGACTCAGGGTGAAAAGTTGAATACAGAAAACTAATTTGTAAATGGCCTTGGTAGACTAAGTTTTCACATTGAATTCGTAATCAAACACCTTTGAAATTCGAAGAAAACAACTTTGACAATGTATTATTTTTCGATACTTGACTTTTTTTTGATGAAAATCAGGGGATCGGAAAAAGCTGAAATTTTCTCATAAAAACTCATTCGAAGTAAATGGAAACATCTATATTGTTGGTCAGCTTGTTACAGGTTATCGAATGATGCATCAAAAAAAAAAAGAAAAAAAAACTCTGCTTTAATTTTGCAATTTCGGTGTCTTACTTTAATTCAGCACTGTGAATTTAGCAATTGCAACAGTTTTCAATGACTGTTGGCAATTTGCATTAACAAAGTTCAGTTAATAAGAATATATAACAAAAATTTCATGGATCGTAGAAGTAGACATCTATCGAGAGCACTATCCTTAATAGATATGAATCAGTAAGAGCAGCATATTTTTCTGAGCACAAAGCAAGTGAATGATAAATCTGTGCTAGACAAAATCAGCGGAAAAATGTTAGGTGATAACCGTTTCAATCAAGGGTTTCATATATAAAGGCACGCTCATATTATTTGGTAGTTTCTCGAAGCAAACCGACTCCTCCAAAGATTTCACCTGTAGGTTACTATCGATTATAATGCTTTTGACGATTCATGATTGGCATTATCAAAGGATGATATTAGAACTTGTGTTTTTTTTCGAATATCATCCCTCAATACTTTCAAGCATGATTCCAACACAAAATATCAGTGCAAAAACTGGATACTGTGCTGTCAGAACTATCGGCTCTGCATGCATTATCGTAAGCATATTCTTCGCAAGATATCTACTTAAAGAGAATGCCTTCTACGAAAATATCCTGAAGCCCTTCCTTTCAATATTATCATATTTTATCTTCAGGCACATTAAATCTTTTTCAATGAAACAAGAATAAAAAACTGAATACCTTAACTCGCTGAAGTCGACCAAATTTAGCGTATCAAATACCAGATTAATAGTATAATCTATCGACGTTGTTGTATGAGTCAGAGTAAAGCAATATTTTGCTTATATATAGATCAAGAAATAAGTTTGGCCTACGCACGTAAACACTGACGTACGAATCGATGACGAATGTTTTTTTTTAATAGAGTATGCTGTATTTATTATTACGTGCTATGACGCTCACATTGAATGACGCATGATATTTATGAATCCTATACTGCATTTATTTCATACAAATATTACCATTGTTTTGCTTGCTCTGTCTCTTGACGTTCACACAGATTAATGAATAGTGACGAAGAGTCAGTTGAATATTCGCAAGAATGTGACCTATATTACGCAGTCACTATATTTTCACATATCTTGCACAAAACAAACAAAGTATTATTGTTTGTAGAGCTTAGTTTCTCGCTCAAACACATAATCTTGATCAAATTCGATCCCAAACGACATTTTCACACATAACCGAGGTCATCTATTTTACATCTACCACCACAAGCAGACTCGTATATTTGTGAAGAATCTAACAGATAAATATATTAAGTGATAA